GCGAGGTTTCAGCCCGGGGGGGTGTTGCCCCCCGGGGGGGCACGGGGAGAGGGGGTCAAAGGGGTGGGGCCCCCCCCCCCCCGCTCCTTCTGTGTTCAGAATCCAGCGAAGATGCACCCTGGTCAGTCTGCCTGTACAGGAGGCTGGCCCACTCTCTGCAGCCAGACTGCGCAGACCCAAAGTTGGGCGACCACTTCTGAATTGCCGAAGAAAAGAAGGTGCACGATGCCAAAAGGCCAAAAGGGGGCAGCGATCTGCATAAAATTGACACATGCTCGATTTTATGCAAAGATGCCAATTTGGAACTCATTGTTAGAATTTAAGTGGGAGCACCGTCCGTCTCGCCGCCACACAAAACATGGGGACTGGGGCTCTTGGTGGGACACTCCAAGGCCCAGCCGTTCCGTCTTGATGGTTCATAACCCTTAAACGGGGCTTAGTGTTCCAAAAGACCTTTTCTCTGTAAAACGCAGGGCCAGCTTTCTCAAGTGTGCTTCTGGAGGCCGCGGGAATTCCAGGTCTGCGGATGGAGCATGGCCCATCCACCTCTGCTCTTCCCAGTTGCTGGAGAGCCCAGCTCGAGCCGGAGAGGTTTCTATGGCAGGATGCTGGGATGCAGCAGCTTGCAAGCCATTCCGGAGAATCCAGCTCCTCTGGGAGGGACCCTCCCAGCAGCTCCACTCCGCTGTCTCTTATTCCCTCCTCTCCTCCCAGGAGAGCTATTCCACAGCCTGCCCGCTTCTCAGAGAACACAGCTCTTTATCAGTGCAACAGACCCGGCCGTCCCTTGGGACCAGAAATGCATTTCACCAACTATTGATCTTAGAATGAATCACTTGCTCGCCCACGGGATGTCGCGGCTCTGTGGCGTTCCTTGGGCGAGCTTCCCACAAGACAGTCCCATGGCATGCCATATTTTAAAGCCGATGAGTGGCAGCGCTGAACACCATCCTCGTGCTTTATATCTGCAGTGCCTTCTCTGAGATCGTTAGTGCTAATTATCATAGAGGCCTGCACTATGATTATTTCCCCTTCTGAGGACTGAGCTCGCTATCCAGACCTACCTTCCTCTTTAGCTCACCACCTGTGGATCAGAAAATGTCAAAGCAGCTGCCTTCCCACAGAATTTACATCAAAAACATCCCTTGATGTCAAACAGAGAATCACAGTGGGAATTTCTGCAGCATCTTTAAGGGGAATGGTTTAAAAAATGCAGGGGGTACCTTTCTGTCTGTGGGTTTATGAGAGAGACTCAAGCAGCTTTCTGATAGCCCGAAGGGCTGAGCATTTCAGAGTGCTTTGCCTGTGTGTCTCTGGGGAATGGTGCCAACATCTGAACTTTCTTTCTGCCTCCCATGACATCATCGCACTGGATTCGTCGAATCCCAAATACAGTGCAACCCAGCCTGTGACTCAGCCATGTTGGCTGGGAATGATCAGTCCATCGTGCTGTCACACAGGCTGGGGGAAGGCCGTTTTAGGGGCGCTGTGCCAATGAGCAAGCCCCTCTTAGAGCCTCAGCTTACCATCTGTAAAATGGGAACAACAGGACGCTGCTGAATGGCAAAACTCTATCAATGGAATTCCAATTTGTGTGTTATAGTTTGCTATAAAAGATCTTGAGGATTTTCGCTTGGTGGAAGAACACAAAATCCTGCAGGGTATTCCTCAGCTCTTTTACACCTGCTCAAAAATTATCATGTAGATGCAACCTCTTTCAGAAAGGATTGAGATCGGTGCAAGTGAACACAGAACATACTTTCATAAATTACTTCCCAGAAATTGCTTTCATTCCCTGCCTTTTCTCCTGAACAGTTCTCCTCTTCTCCATTTTATTCTCACCACAACCCTGTGAGGTAGCTTAAGCCAAGAGTCGGTGACTGGCCCAGCTCATCCACTGAGTTTCATGACCAAGTGGGGACGCAACCTGGATTTCCTCAGTCCCGCACAAACACTCTAACCAGTAAGCCCCAGTGACCTGGGAATGAGGGAATGAGAAAATAAGAAACTGCAAAGCATAGCTTTAAAGCCTTCAAAACAAGGGCACCACTATCTCCTTCAAGTTCACAGCTGTCTTCAAATAAGACCTAGATCTGAAGTGAGCAAAGAGGAAAGCAATGTTTGGAGATCACAGTCATACTGTTAGTATATTGGATTGCTTGATGATTTCTTGGCTATGAACGATTTGCCTATCGCAGGCTCTGTTTGTTCTCTCCACTTTCCGGCATCCACTTTCCTTTTCGGGAACAAAAGTAAACATACTGTTGAAGAGGGCCTCGGGTTGCTTATAAATAGTGCTCATAATTCACTGATAATTATAGTTTTGTGGGATTCAACCTGGATGCAAAATTATATGACTGGTATTTATTAACCCATAAATGTCAAACCTAGTGTTGGATATTTTTTTAAACATTGGAACAAAAGGAAAGAGGGTGGGAAATTTAAGCATGTCAGGTTGGTGCTGTGAAATTAAATGAGGTTTTATATGAACAGTGCCTTTATTTTGCCGGATCCAGTCATCTTTAGCCACTTTACAAAATTACATGCAGATTACCCCCCAATCTTAGCCACAGATAGGAAAATCCCTCAAGGAGGAATGTAAAGGGAAGCAAAAGCTTGCCAAGATCCTGTAAAATTCAGGACCAGACAGGACTCCAGAGGTTCTGGGAAGGTATGAGAAGGGGACTGGGTTGGCAGATAGCTCATGGCAGGGACAGATTCCAGCTCAAGGCAGATAACAGGCTTCTGGGACCAGTTCAGCTAGTGGAAAATCACATGAACAAAACTTCCACCTACCTACCTACCTGTAAGCACTCAGCACCCTCTTTCCTGCTTTTGGACAGCCTTTGCAAAAAATTTGGCAAGCCTAGACTGATGTCATGTTCAGTTTGTGTTGCTAGCAGCATCAGTGAGACATCACTGGCTCTTGGAACCAATGCACAAAGGAGCCTGCATCCCACAAAAATGCCTGCCGCTGCCTGTTTGGAAAGGAACAGAAATTCAGACTGCCTTTACCTGCTGTGATTCTGCAGGTTACTTCTGTAGGGCAAAGTCATATGCAGTTAGATTTATTGGAAATCCCTCATCTCGTTCACAGGGCTGCTTGGAAGAGCCCCTGTGTCAGGCCAGGCTGGGCCGAGAGGGTTGTAGTGAATCCATCCACGAAGTGTGTGGTTTGCATCCCTGGGTGCCTGATGTCAGCCGTGGAAGCTGCAGCGGACAGCAAAGTCAGACATCTGAAGCACAGCATGGTCCTATCGAGCAGGCAAGATGAGAGGACCAGGTGTCTAATGCTTTTATCAGGCTTGGCCAATCCGCAGGCTTTATTCTGCCAGCTAATCACAAGTCCAAAAAGCATCAGCTACTGTGATTGGCAGGCAGGATGGCAGGTCAGACCAGGCCAGGTGTAATCACTGTGAGTCTAGATACACCAAGCTACCTTCTGCCTTGCGGTTGGTCCATTTGGATCACTTTTATCCACCCCAGCACGGCTGAACTTCTTTCGGCCCAAGGACCAAATTCCATTTTGGAGGTGCTCCTGAGGTCCATGGTCCACGGACGGCTGGGGCCAAAGGGGCAAAGCCAAGACATCAAAAACATAAACATATTTTAGCTTAAATCTCTTATTAGGGGATGCTGGTAATCCCGATGTTGGGGGGTCTTTATCCATTGCAGCTTTTATTCTGAGCTTCATAGCAGCTCTCCATGGTGCCAGGAACGAGACCTTAAGGGAGGCATTTCAGACTTTTGGAAAGTGCTGGTGAAAGTAGGGAACTGCATAAAAGTAAGAGAACCATCAACCAGTTGGTAGTCCAGGGAGAAGTTGGTGTAACCAGGCTGGGACCGTAGGAGCCTGAATCTCCACACCCCTGAACTACACTGAATGGCAGAAGCTTTCTGGGATTTCAGGAGAAACTTCTCCCCCCTCCAGCTGGAGATACTTCTCATGATAAATACTTGCTCTAGAGTGAACCACACTCTAATTTTTAACCCTTCTGGGATCCCTGGTGCTCTCCGGTCTGCTAATTCGGTCTCCTTCCTTGCCGTTCCTCCAGCAGTGCCTGGCCTCCACTGACCCCAGGCCATCCCTTGAAGCGCAAGTGGAGCTTCCTGCGAACAGCGCGCCCAGAACAAAGCTGCAGATTTTCGGATCAAGGTCCTGATGGTCCTCTGAGATGTAGTCCAGGTTGCAGAATGAAGTAGGGGGCAGGTTTCTCAGGAAGCAAGGCAGGCCACAAAGAGCAGTAGAAATAAAGCCAGTCCCTGTTACTCCAACACAGAGCAGAGCAAGTCCGATGCTGAAATAGGAGGTCGGTGGCCTCTAGGCTGGTTAGCTCTGCCTCTACCTCTAGTGAGACTTTGACTCTTAACGGGGCCTGGCCTGTTCAAAATGCCTCAGGCTGTGAAAGCTTGCCAGTCTTCTTGGCCCGGGTCTGCAGAGACCGAGGATGGCGGTGGACCCCCCTTGGGAGGTTGGGGAGATGCTCCAAGGGCTCCTCTGGAGAACTGGGCCCCGGGGAGAGAGAAACGTTTTGTGGCCTTCTCCTACTGGCTCCAGAGCCCCTTCTGAGGATGAGGGTTGGGCAGGCCCTGAAGCCAAGCGGCCTTCTCTTTCCCCAGTGCTGATTTAAACAATGAATTCCAGTGCCAAGAAAACTGCCAACAATGCTTCTTCCTTGCTTGGCTTCTTGGAAAGCCCTCGGAGGCAAAGAGGCAACAA